TTTTTTTTTTTTTTTTTTTTGATTTCCCATCCCAAGCAGATGGGAAATCAGACCACCAATTTCAAACTGTTGCAGTCAGCACCCATTTGGAGTAGATTCTACAGGCTATGAAAAAGGAGTGGAGGCTCCTTGAGGCTACAGATTGATTTCACTTGGAAATGTATCGTGTACTGTACTACAGTATAATGTACTGTAGACCAGTGTATAGTAGTCTACAGCATAGTGTAGACCAGTGTTTCTCAACCTCAGCAACTTTAAGATGTGTGGACTTCAACTCCCAGAACTTGGGGGGATTCTGGGAGTTGAAGTCCACACATCTTAGAGTTGCCAAGGTTGAGAAACACTGGTCTACACTATACTTATCTGCATTCAGACTTTTTTATTTCTGAGCTGTTTCTTTGAAAGAGGACATCTTTATTCTTTATATCTGTTACTTAACAACAACCTTTTCCTGAGAAGGTTCGCTGCTGAAAGGTATCTTTTCCCTAAACAGAAAACAATCAAACAAATCCTGCTTGTTTTGCTGTATCAACCTGGCTCCCGTAGGGTTTTACGGCTGTGTTCAGTGATTTCCCTTGTTAGAGGATTAATGGCTTTATAGGTTAGTGGGCAAAACTAGATCTAGAGAGCTGAATTAGCGCAGCCTAATAAGCTCAGAGCGTCATGGAAAATAGAAAACCATTAATACGCTTTTAAAATAACGTCAACTGCCATCCACATTTAGAGTACACAAATAAACAGTTTCACTAACTACAGAATAAATCATTTTCCATTCAACAGTCTCCAGGAATGTAAGCATCACAAGAGGGACAGGTTGGAGAATAAAATATTTTATTTGGAATTATCCAGTTAAATAACAATTAAAAAAAATTAGCTGTCATACCAAGATGTTAAAGCACTGGCTGAAACAAAGGCAGAACTAACAAGACTGACTTCTGGTTTGAAGAAAGTTGCATCACAATATGGTTAGCTACTTTTGTTAGTTTTCATAAAATGAATGATAACTGATTGTAAATTATTTTCATTGCCTCTTCTTTTTTCAATATCCATTTAGAATACTTCCCATCACTTAATTAAGGCTTTTGAAGTTTTTTTTTTTAAATACATACACACACACCTACCTTAAACTGCCCTTCAACCATCACATTTTTTAAAACACTGAAATTCAAAGAACCTGACTCTGCATTCCCCTTCCTGCAGTCTGAGGCAGATTCAAGTATCTGAATGGAGAGCTTCCATTCCCTTCTGTTTTCTTACAGGACAGCCTCGGCTTGCTTTTAAAATTGGCCTTACTTAAAAATAAATAAACATAAGTGTTACAGTCCAATAACTATCTTCATGTTTCTCCTTTTCTAGCCCATCATACAGAAGAGGTAGAGATAGAGGGTTTGCAAAATAAACAAATTTTGCAAACAAATATAAACAAAATAAATAAATGTAGGCTCTTTTCTCACTTGCAGCTAGTCATGATGTAAACCTCTCCTGGCACCATCTTTTTTTCTTCCGTGTCCCCATGACACTGCCTTCCTCTGTGCCCTAACCCCATGAATGAGGCCAACTTAGGTCATTCTTCACTGAATCAGTGTTCAAACATGTTCCTCCCCCCTTATTCCAACACTGTGCAAAGGCAGCCTCAAGATGTATAAAAGCTGGGAGAGAAGCCAGGGGATTGGCAGTGAGTGGGAGCAAAGGCAATACGTGCAGGATAAGGATTGACAATGAGGACAGCAAATTTCATGTCACTATGGTTTTCTGCTATGAGTGACAAGAACTTTAACTCAGCATTGGGGAAAAGCTCATAGTGAGCAACAAGAAAGACCAAGCTTTTGAGGAAGGCTGGAAGTAATAGTTCAGTATTTGGAGGTTCACATGCTCTTCATTCTTGCTTTATAATTTGTACTTTAACTCATGACAATAAATTTATAAATATAGATACTGCTACTACGGAAGGGCAAAAGAACTCCCGCGACTCAACTTTAAATTACATGCTGAACGTGACTTGCTCAGTGCTGGATATACTGAGAGGTCCAGAGCAGTGTTTTTCAAACTTGGCCACTTGAAGATGTGTGGACTTCAACTCCCAGAATTCCCAGCCAGTCATGCTGGCTGTGGAATTCTGGAAGTTGAAGTCCACCCAACTTCAAGTGTCCAAGGTTGAGAAATATTGGTCTAGAGTGACATGATGGTTGCAGTCCGTCCCCCCCTC